GTTTCAGGATAGGGACCTACGAGACTTTGAGAGCAACCAATTTTATCTTGCGTGGGAACAAGGGTTATCCCTACCTGCAATTATGGAGGTCAACGTGCCTTACCAAAGGGATGACTGCAACTGCACCAGATGTAAGTTACATTGTTTTTCTTTTTCAACCTATTACCTGTTTATCATTTTTGAATGAACTACTATAATACAGATACTCACTACACTATAAGTAGATATATCGCCTCTCCTCTTATTTTTCTTGTGAGCATTCTGAACCATCCTATGGGTCTTCATTCTGCCTCTTCAGCTTGACCTTCTGGAACCCTGAGGACCACCACCACTTGTATCCTAACCCCTGAGGACCACCACCACTTGTATCCTAATCCTGGTTAATGATCTTCAAGGGGAGAGGGAGGTTTAGGGATTACGTTGGGTAATGCGTTGAATAAGAACTTACTTGGAAGAGTAGTGAAACATCTTCAACATTACAGATCAAGCCCAGTTGACTGTGACCAACTTCTGCTAGACATACCATGGAGAAATGAAAACCTTCACAGACAAGTGTAGTAGTCAACTAGTTTGTCTTGTTCTCAAGGTATTTCATTGCCAAATGTTGATAGACTAAACTCCATAGAAAACCACTCAAAGTAGAAAATACTATACCAACAGGTTTACTGCCCTGATCTAGTCTATAAAACAATTTTTTTTCTCAGTTCTGAGATACCTTCAGCTTACCATACGAGATAGCGAGAAGAATGTTGTGGGTACAAATTGATCCAATTGAAATGTACTCTGCACACCATTTATTATAAATAACAACTTCTGGTAATAGGATATAATAGGATTTAAATTCGGATTTTCTAAGCTACAATTATATTGAATAAATACACAAGTAGTATATTTTTGCCTTTCTTGCAGATTCTTTGGTCTATGCAGACATCCAGTACAATAGAGAACATTGTTCCTCCCAATCACCTTCTCATCTTATTGTTTTTTTGTTTTTTTTTTTGTAGTATATTTTCAGTTATATAAATCTATAGCTTTCTGAAGGTGAAAGGCAAGACGAAAGCATGTCACAGTGGGACTGGTAGCTATGTACAGAGGCAATTAATATTATTATTTGATTTTTTTTTTTTTTTTTTTTTTACATGTGAAGGCATAGATGACTATCCTAGAAACCTATTCACCAGAGGAACTTAGTGAGTTAACAGTTCTGCTCCACCATCTGTTGAGTACAGCCAAATGCTATTATTTAATACACCACCTTGATGTTCTGCTCCTAAAACATTTTTCATTTTTCCCATTCGCACGTTAAGGCTGGCAGGCTAATATTAAGAGAGTTATGGGAATAATAACTTCCCTAAAAAAAAAAATATCGATTTGAACAAATTTAAAGTGTCTAGGCACAAAAAAAAAAAACACCCAAAACATATTTAATAAATTTTGTCCACTACCTGCCCATTTCTCATCTCGTGCCTTTAAAATGACTGCAAGTATCTAAAATACTGTTGCTCTTGCAAGAAGTCCAGCGATCTGACAACGCTGCCCCTGCCGCACAAATCCAAAGCAGTGTTGTCAGCCCTACCCAATAAACGACGGAATGCCTTCTTTCATCAGGGATTTAGTTCAGCTGGAACCCCATATGGAAGAAAAATATGTTTGAAATATATTTTAAAAATATTATTCCCAAATATATTGACATACATTTGAAATGCCCAAATTTTAGCCGTATTCAATATATTTCAAAATATAATATTTTTAAAATATATTTCAAATATATTTTTCTTCCATGTGGGACTTGGCGGAACTCAGTTCCACCACCTCTGGCTCATGCCCTATGCTCCCTGCTCACCACTATCACTTGGAAACATAGAAGTCTGGCTTCTCTCTTGTCTCCCAACATCTCCTCCAGATCTGATATCCTGAGTGGCTCCCACTGAAGGCAAGATGGGGACAAGAGAGATAAAGGTGTCCGGGGTGCAGCGTGGATATCGACTCCCCAACTGGATGATCTCCCTGCAAGTGAGAGAGGTGGGGCAAACTACAATGCGTGGGGAGATACTAGAGCGGGCTGGGTGCTTCAGCTTCATACAGTAACAAATGTAAGATATTTGGAAGATGGTGGAGCTTTTAAGGGGGAGGGGGGGATGGGAAGATGGGGGTAGTGGAGGGGGGGTTGAATGCAGAGGTCACAGCTAAAGAGTGGGTAAAATGGGAGACGTGGATTCAGAGGTAATCAGCTGTGGAAGAAGGCTGAACTCTGCACTGTGTGTGTAGCGTACCCCTGAACTCTGCACTCTGTGTAGCGCACCCCTGAACTCTGCACTCTGTGTGTAGCGCACCCCTGAACTCTGCACTCTGTGTAGCGCACCCCTGAACTCTGCACTCTGTGTGTAGCGCACCCCTGAACTCTGCACTCTGTGTGTAGCGCGCACCCCTGAACTCTGCACTCTATGTAGCACACCCCTGAACTCTGCACTCTGTGTGTAGCGCACCCCTGAACTCTGCACTCTGTGTGTAGCGCACCCCTGAACTCTGCACTCTGTGTAGCTCAGCGCTGAACTTTGCCCTGAACTCCCCTGCACTCTGTGTGTAGCGCACCCCTGAACTCTGCACTCTGTGTAGCGCACCCCTGAACTCTGCACTCTGTGTGTAGCGCACCCCTGAACTCTGCACTCTGTGTAGCGCACACCCCTGAACTCTGCAATCTGTGTGTAGCGCACCCCTGAACTCTGCACTCTGTGTGTAGCGCACTAACTCTGCACTCTGTGTGTAGCGCACCCCTGAACTCTGCACTCTGTGTGCAGCGCACCCCTGAACTCTGCACTGTGTGTGTAGCGCACCCCTGAACTCTGCACTCTGTGTGTAGCGCACCCCTGAACTCTGCACTCTGTGTGTAGCGCACCCCTTAACTCTGCACTCTGTGTGTAGCGCACCCCTGAACTCTGCACTCTGTGTGTAGCGCACCCCTTAACTCTGCACTCTGTGTGTAGCGCACCCCTGAACTCTGCACACTCTGTGTGTAGCACACCCCTGAACTCTGCACTCTGTGTAGCACACACCCCTGAACTCTGCACTCTGTGTAGCGCACCCCTGAACTCTGCACTCTGTGTAGCACACCCCTGAACTCTGCACTCTGTGTAGCACACCTCTGAACTCTGCACTCTGTGTAGCGCACCCCTGAACTCTGCACTCTGTGTAGCGAACACCCCTGAACTCTGCACTCTGTGTGTAGCGCACCCCTGAACTCTGCACTCTGTGTGTAGCGCACCCCTGAACTCTGCACTCTGTGTGTAGCGTACCCCTGAACTCTGCACTCTGTGTGTAGCGCACCCCTGAACTCTGCACTCTGTGTGTAGCGCACCCCTGAACTCTGCACTCTGCGTAGCGCACCCCTGAACTCTGCACTCTGTGTGCAGCGCACCCCTGAACTCTGCACTGTGTGTAGCGCACCCCTTAACTCTGCACTCTGTGTGTAGCGCACCCTGAACTCTGCACTCTATGTAGCACACCCCTGAACTCTGCACTCTGTGTGTAGCGCACCCCTGAACTCTGCATCTGTGTGTAGCGCACCCCTAACTCTGCACTCTGTGTGTGTAGCACACCCCTGAACTCTGCACTCTATGTAGCACACCCCTGAACTCTGCACTCTGTGTGTAGCGCACCCCTGAACTCTGCACTCTGTGTAGCGCACCCCTGAACTTTGCACTCTGTGTAGCGCTCCCCTGAACTCAGCACCCTGAAGCGCACCCCTGAACTCTGCACTCTGTGTGTGCGCACCCCTGAACTCTGCACTCTGTGTGTAGCGCATCTGTCTGCACTCTGCGTAGCGCCCCTGAACTCTGCAATCTGTGTGTGCAGCACCCCTGAACTCTGCACTCTGTGTGTAGCGCACCCCTTAACTCTGCACTCTGTGTGTAGCGCACCCCTGAACTCTGCAATCTGTGTAGCGCAGCGCACCCCTGAACTCTGCACTCTGTGTGTAGCGCACCCTGAACTCTGCACTCTGTGTGTAGCGCACCCCTGAACTCTGCACTCTGTGTGTAGCACACCCCTGAACTCTGCACTCTGTGTAGCGCGCACCTCTGAACTCTGCACTCTGTGTAGCGCACCCCTGAACTCTGCACTGTGAACACCCCTGAACTCTGCACTCTGTGTAGCGCACCCCTGAACTCTGCACTCTGTGTGTAGCGTACCCCTGAACTCTGCACTCTGTGTGTAGCGCACCCCTGAACTCTGCACTCTGTGTGTAGCGCACCCCTTAACTCTGCACTCTGTGTGTAGCGCACCCCTGAACTCTGCACTCTGTGTGTAGCGCACCTCTGAACTCTGCACTCTGTGTAGCGCACCCCTGAACTCTGCACTCTGTGTAGCGCACCCCTGAACTCTGCACTCTGTGTGTAGCACACCCCTGAACTGTGAACTCTATGTGTAGCGCACCCCTGAACTCTGCACTCTGTGTGCAGCGCACCCCTGAACTCTGCACTCTGTGTAGCACACCCCTGAACTCTGCCTTCTGTGTGTAACCCCCACCCAAAAACTCTGTACTCAGTATACTCAGTACGTAATGCACTTCTGGTATTTAATGCCCCTTTAAGACCCTCCCACTGTTAATGAAATTTTACCAAACACACTATTTGATGCAGTTTGGAGGGTGTGTGTGTGTGAGGAGGGGGGTTGTTTTTGAGGGTCGTGGTTGAGTTCCTACACCTATTTTCATTTTATGGAATGCGAAAAGGAGGCATTCTGTAGTTGATCAGAAGAGAACTGGGGAGGGGGTGACAACACTGGTCAAGATTTCAATGCAGCAGAGAGAGTGTTGTCAGCTCACACAGCAAGCTAGGAGCCCATTGGATTTCAAGCAAACCAACTGATATTTTTCTGCACTTGTAGCATTTTTAAAGGGATAAAACATGGGGAAATGTGCATGTATTGGATATATGTACCAAATATGTTTCTTTTTTTTTTTTTTTACTTTGCCCAGACATGCACTTGAACCGTGCTTTCACTTACTGTTTGCTCATCAAAGATTTGATCGAACGAGAAAAAGTACTAACTGCCGTGGCTACAGTGGCGGACTGCTTTGCTAAACTGTCCTACCACGGTATTACACTGGGCAACTGTCCGCGTACTAGATTCTTCCGCTGCCCGGAGCAAGAAAGTATAATTTCTCACCACTTCTTCTACTTTTGCCAAGAGCTCCTGGCGTTGGCTTTCGGAACGGATCAAAAACACCAGTTTTACAAAAGTCTCGATGAGACTGCAGAGCACCTGAAAGCTGCAAGTCACTGCGGTGAGCATATGCTCTGGGTTTTTATCCACGCCTGCCATTCTTCTACAGGAGGCCCGGAACTCCTTAAATCGCATGGTCAACTCTTGTTTGCGTTGGCTGAGATGCGTTGAGTCTAGCTTGGGCTCTCCAGCCTCAGTGCTGACGACACATTGACGCAGCACGGTGAGGAGTTCGCTGGTATCACGTTGAACGGACACGAAGCCATCAGGAAGGGAATATGAACGTCCATGCAGAGCATTCACCTTGGCCAGGCTGCCCTCAAAGGTGGCTGTGCGAAGATCAATCTCTTGTGTCTGATTATCTTCATGGACACTGCACACACTAGCATCTAGTACTTGAAGGGTCTGGCTTAACAGTGGGGTGGTCTCCGAATTTAAACTGATTCCGGAAGAATCTGCATGGGAATGGAGTAGGATAATTCATCCCTGTCACTGCTCTCATCAGCCGAGGAGCACCGGCGACAGTTGAAGCAGTGGCGGATAGAGCAACATTTGTCCCCTGGAATTACATTTTCCTCTGCAGGCAACTTTGATTGGACTGAAAATACTTCTTCCTCTACTGGTAGATTCACCAAAGGCTTTCTCTCCTCTCTGTTCCCCATCAAATCTGTCATTTTGCTTTTTAACATGGGAGGCTCAACCTCTTTCTTTTGCGGTTTAGCGCTGGGCGGGTTGCTTGGCGCTTCCTTTTTTTTAACTTCACCGGTGCTAAGCTTTTGCGGCAAATTTGTGGAATGAATGGTGCTTTCTGCTCGCATTTCACCGGTCGTAAGACATGACGTTACCTTCTCAGATCCCCGTGACTCCAGACTAGAGGAACGCACGAGTCGTGGGTGACCTTTGCCCCGCACTCTTGGCCTGTTCCTTGGTTCAGGCTCCAAAGAACTGCTAGGTGGGGCATGGATACCTCTTGTTATACGTTTACAATCACAGCTGCGTCGTTGCTCACGAGACATACCTGGCACTTTTTGAAGAGGACTGCTACGTACCTGGCATGAGCAAGGTCTAGGCACCAGGGGGTAAAGGATTTCTTGGCGTGGACCACCTATTTTGCCCTGTGGTCTAAGCAGTTCTTCAAGGAATTCCATTTCATACTGCTTAACTTTGCGCAGCTGGGCTTGTCGTTCATCGGTTTCACGTCTCATTCTGGTGGGAAACGTGGCAGAAAAGAGTTTGCGTAACTTTAAAGGTCCTCGGTTCCTAGGTTTAGCACATTCGTCCAGCTCAACTGGAGCAGGCACTTTTTCAGGGATCGTTGGGGCTACTGATTTATCCGTTTCAGATTTTACCTTTACTTTTGCATTGTCTGTGTTAAACATGAAGATGTTTGGAATTGATGGAACGTGTTCCTTCTTCTCATCTTTCTCAACATCTTCCTGCTTTCTCTTACTAATGTTTTTTCACAGCTACATCATCAACATGAGTTTTAGTTATTTCTTTTTTATCTGGCCTCTTGTGGCTCAAGTGTTTTTCTTCAAGGCTCATGGCTGAGCAAGCTTTAGCATGCAGTCTCTCATCATCTGTTGGGGATAAATGAAGATCTTCATGGTTTCCATTTACAGATTTATCTAAGCCGACAGCAGATGGCTCTGCTGGAGATAGTCTACACCCACATGGGCTACTTAAGGATTTTTTTTCTTTCTCATTATCTCGATCATTCAACATGGCTGATAAAGTGCTCTGAACAATTGGATTTGCCGATAAAAAAACCTGCCTCTGAAGAGTCTTTTGTTGACTCTGTAGCCATGGTGGAACTCTTCCTTGGCGGATTCTGGGAAATCTTTGAAGGTTCTGTGGAAGTGGCTGAACTTGTGCCTTCTTTAGGTTTTTCGGGAGATGTAAGTATGGACACAGCATTATTTAAGTTGAATTTTGGGCTTGAGGGGACAGCCACTGACTCTTGATGTAGGCTGGTACTGATCAAACTTTGCTGTAACAGAGCAGGTTTTAGTAAGGGGCTAGTTTCTCTGCTCAATGAATAAGGAGAAGCAAGGACAGCCTGAGCAGCACAGGTCTGTATTCTAAATGGAAGGTCCTTCCGGGAAAGAAGACTTTCCTTGTTGAGGTGGTGGGCCAGGAAGTAGGCAGTGTTGTGATGTTGCTTTAAGGCAGTAACCATTTCCGATACATCCGTTAGCTCTGAAGAGTTAGTTTCATGACCAGAATCCAGGGAAGAGTCTGGAGTGATAGCAGCAAGGACAATGAGGCCTGCAAAAGAGAAATATATTTACCCTAGTTATGTTAAACAGACTGGCACAATAGGAGAGAGTAGGGAACAGTTAGACCCTCTGCAAGGTTTTTATTGCAAAGACTAAGCCCTGGTTCACATATATGCATCTGATTCGCATGACATCTGAACCGAACCGGCTTTTTAAGGAGCTGGTTCACATACAGTTGTGTTCAAAATAATAGCAGTCAGACATCACTAACCGGATCAATCACTGTTTTTGGTAGACATGATATTTCTACATGGCAAATAATTTACTAGCAGATGTAGTAGACAGAAATCCAACACCCAACAGTCATGACATGCATGCTGCTGATTCTGTGTCATTGAATCACTCATTGAAAGGGGCGTGTTCACAATAATAGCAGTGTGGAGTTCTATTAGTGAGGTCATTCATTCTTTGAAAAACAGGTGGCAATTATTGCCCTTATTTAAGGAAGGAAGGCAGCAAATGTTGTACATGCTGGTTACAGTGCATTTCTCTCTGAAATTCTGAGGAAAATGGGTCGTTCCAGACATTGTTCAGAAGAACAGCGTACCTTGATTAAAAAGTTGATTGGAGAGGGGAAAACATATAAAGAAGTGCAGAAAATGATCGGCTGCTCAGCTAAAATGATCGCAAATGCTTTAAAATGGCAACCAAAACCTGAAAGACATGGAAGAAAGCGAAAAACTACCATTGGAATGGATAGAAGAATAGCCAAAATGGCGCGGACTCAGCCAACAATCAGCTCCAGGAAGATGAAAGAAGGTGTGACGTTCCCTGTGAGGACTGTTACAATTAGAAGACGCCTATGTGAAGCCAAGCTATCTGCAAGAAGCCCCCGCAAAGTCCCACTGTTGGGGGAAAGACGTGCTGAAGAGGTTACAATCTGCCAAAGAGCACATTGACTGGCCTAAAGAGAAATGGCGCAACATTTTGTGGACTGATGAAAGTAAGATTGTTCTTTTTGGGTCTAGTGGGCGGAGACAGTTTGTCAGACGACCCCCAAACACTGAATTCAAGCCACAGTACACTGTGAAGACAGTAAAGCATGGTGGTGCAAGCATCATGATATGGGGATGTTTCTCATACTATGGTGTTGGGCCTATTTATCGCATACCAGGGATCATGGATCAGTTTAAAAACATCAGAATACTTGAAGAGGTCATGCTGCCTTATGCTGAAGAGGAAATGCCCTTGAAATGGGTGTTCCAACAAGACAACGACCCCAAACACACCAGTAAACATGCAACATCTTGGTTCCAGACCAACAAGATGGACGTTATGGAGTGGCCAGCCCAATCCCCGGATCTTAATCCAATAGAAAACTTGTGGGGTGACATCAAAGATGCAGTTTCTGAGGCAAAACCAAGAAATGGAGAAGAACTGTGGAATGTGGTCCAATCATCCTGGGCTGGAATACCTGATCACAGGGGCCAGAAGTTGGGTGACTCCATGCAACACAGATGTACAGCAGTTCTCAGAAACAGTGCGACTACAACCAAATATTCATGAAGTCATTCAAAGGAAAGCAAAATCTTCAAACATTTCTCAGTTTATATAGTGAATGTTTGAGTTTGTAAAGAAGAATACAAACACTGCGATTTTTTTGAACCGTCTAATATTCACTTTTCTTCATTTTTTTTAGAGGAACAACACAAATTTGATGTATTTTTCTTCATGTTTTGATTTGGAATAGAATGTGTCGTGTTCCCAATGCATTTGTGTGGATGGTAATAAAAGCTATTAAAAGGATTTTCAGCTTTATTCACTTTTTTCAACACACTGCTATTATTTTGAACACAACTGTATGTGCAGGCTGGCCATAGTATGATGTTAAAAAGAGCCAGTTACCAGTCTCAGTCTGGTTTAAGATTTGAGGGGAAATCCTCAAACAGGGTCAGCTGTTTTGGCAACAACTCTTAAAGATGGGAATTCCATTCACTTCCTATTTCCTCTCATTTCCTGTTGCATCAAGAATAATTTTTGACCTCCATGTGACCAAAATGTCAACAGATTAGGTGTACAGGAAGTAATCTGCCAAACAATTGACCTGAGAAACCTTTGCTAACATCTGTATGAAGACAATAAAAATATTCTAAAAGCTGCTAAAAAATATAAATCAGCCTTTCTCAGCCTTTTTGTCCCAGAGGAACCATTGAAATAATCTTCATGTCTCGGGATACCCTTGCTAAAGCCAATGCATTGGGGGCCAGGTAGAACATGCCCCTTACATGGGGTGGCCACTGGGAAGAATGCCACCCTAACACTGGTGGTGACCATGCCATCCTAATAGGCAGCTAAAAAGAGCATTGGTGAAATGCAACTGGCTCTGCCAAGTGGCATTGAATCTGGGACCATGCAGACACCATCAAATGGGAGGTACATTTTTCACAACTCAAGGAGTCCCCAGCAACCTCTGGGGCAACCTTTCTCAACTAAGGTGCCATAGCAAAATGCATAATTATGGGTTGTCACTGGAACAGATATACAAGGGTAGTCTGAAACGTTCATGGCCCAATACAGAAGGAGCGACCACACAGACATGAAACCTTATCACTGCACATAGCCAATGCGGTTTTCATGCTCTCTTTGCAAACAGTTGGTAACAGTCTTCTGCTGCTGCACACCCTTGGAATCCTAGAAGACTGCTGTCACCACTTTGCCCGCTGAAGGAACACTTTGAGCCTTCTTCTTCTACTTTTTTCCGTTTTCAACTTCATTACAGGGGGGTGCCAACTGTTTGCAAAGAGCACATGAAAACCATTGTAGCACCCTCTAGTGCGCTACTAGAATAGTGTATTATAGGTAAAATCATACTCATGGTAGTTGTGTGAGTCATGTGACTGAGGTCCAGTTATTGCAGGTCAGCTGGATGACTCAACAGGTTTTGGCTCTATCGCCTCCTCCTGACTCTGAAGGACCATAGAACCTTCCAGCTGGTAAGCAGGAAAGGGTGGAGACCTGATCTGCATATTCATGGGAGCCAGTTCATTCAGGAAATTATGTCAAAGAGGGCATTGTCTTATTTTTTGTTACTTCCTGTTGTGTCTACAGGATAGGAAGTCAAGGTAATTCATTTAACTGGCAGACAGATGGCAATATAACTTGTCATGGATTTTAATCGTTCCCTACTGTATCAAAAACTAAAAAAAAAACTTTTGGCATTAGATATACTTTAACACATTTCAACATACCTGCTGTGGACTGAGGTGCAGCGCTGGGGTAATCCTCAGAAGCAGCAAGAGCCTCTAGAGCTTGAAGGGTGGAAACTAGAGCATCATCCAGCTCCCTTGCATGATCTCTGACTGTCCTTGTCTGGACACTGTCTATTAAAGTGACTGGTAACTCTTCATAGCTAAATACAGGGTTCACATTTGCTTTTTTTTGTTCCTTGCCCTTTTCATGGCCCTTTTCAATGGTCCTCTTTGGGTCCTCCTCATCTGAACTGTTATCTCCAAATCCCGGTGGTGGGGGTGCAGCAGAAGGCAAAAAGGTTGCAGTCTCCCCTACGTCCCGATCAACTGCCAAGCTCTCTCCTTTACGTCTACCCTTTTCTTCCTCCTTATCTTTCTTGTTTTCTGGAGGTGGCAAGGATATGAGGTCTACTGAATTGTCCCTACAGGTGGATGACCCACATGAATTCACACACTTCACATCCATCCCACCTCCCCCAGACCGATTCTTCAGTTTGGCTTTGCAGGAGTCACAGTAGAATTGGGTGCCCTCCACTTTCACCTGGCTGTCCATAGTGAAGGAACGGGACCTGCAGACTTCGGGCGTATCCGGTTCACTCTTCGTTCCAGGTTGGCAGGATGTGCCCTTGGGTGTGGGATCAGATTTTGTTCTTGGTCTGGCCTCCTCTGCAACAACATTCTGGTTGACATCTCTCCCCTCCTTGTCCCGTAGATGGAGGTAGCACAGACTGATAGACTCCGGGTTCTCTGGTGGAGTGTGGGGTTCGGGAGCAAAGCCCTTTTCGGCGAAGTCTGCAGATAGGTTGGAGGAGGTTGGTGCCTTAACAGAAGTTGGCATGCGTGACATTGCGGGCAGACTGATGTGATCTACAAGGAATAGATTCATTTGTAAAATTATTGCCACTTCGATTAATTTTTCTACAATATTTTATCAATGTGGAAGAAAATATTTTCTCTCCTTTGATGATATTCTTGGATAGCAGGGTCTCATTATAAATATATATATAGAATCTGAAGAATATATTTAAAAAATATATATATTTTTTAAATATATCCTTCAGATTTTTTAACATATAAAAAAGTCATTTCATTTTTACATATATATTTTTACATATATTTGTACATGCATTCCAAAATTGTAGATTTGTATTTTTAAAGATATATAGTATATATATATATATATATATATATATATATATATATATATTTATTGAAATATATTTTAAAATATATTGAATGTCATAGCATTTCAAATACATGGCAATATATTTGGGAAGAATATTTTTTAAATATATTTCAGATATATTTATTTTTCTTCCATGTGGATTACTATATTATAGCAAACTGGTAAGGTCAAGTGTGGCAGATGGAGAAGGGTCTTGGGAAGGGCCATAAGAATGAAGCCATAAGTGCTGCTCAGATGTGTTCACAGGGCAGTGGTAGACATTTGTGAGGAAACATTTTCAGGGTTATAATTAGTCATAACTGGTGACGGTGGCCACGAAGGTGATACTTTTAATGTCATATGGGCCAGGGGGTTGGTGAGGAAACATCTCCAGGGTTGTGCTCTGTCAAGACTAGTAAGGGAGGTCATGAGGGTGATGTTTTTAATGCCATTCCGATAGGGAGCTTCGTGGGATAATAGTGGGTTGCGGTATGGTAGATGGGGAATAGTCATGTGGGTACAGTTATTGCAAAAGACCATGGGATTCATGCTTCAGAGACAGAGAAGTAGGGAAGAGTCTTGTTGCTACCACATTTGAGGTTGAAGGAGTTCTTTGTATGTGATGGTAGGTCAGTGAGACAACATTGGGTTGTGGTATAGTAGATGGGGAAGAGTCATGGGAGTACAGGTGTTGGGAACAGGGGCGGACTGACAACTCATGGGGCCCTCAGGCAATAGGGGACCATGGGGCCCCTGTGTCCTCACCCACACCCAAAAAAGCCTATGAAAAAGCCAATGAAAAGTACCAGGGGCATCTCATGGGGCCCCCTACTGACTCTGGGCCCTCGGGCAGTGCCTGAGTGCTCGAATGGTCAGTCTGCCCCTGGTTGGGAAGACCATGAGGTTCATGCTCCAAAGACAGGGAGGTGGGAAGAGTCATGTTGCCACCACATTTGAGGATGAAGCTCTTCTTTGAAAGTGAAGGGAGGTTGGTGAGACAACACTGGGTTGAAGTATGATTGATGGTGAAGAGTCATGGGGTACAAGTATAGGGAAAGACCATGAGATTCATGCTCTAGAGACAGGGAGGTGGGGAAGAATAATTTTGACACCACATTTGAGGGTGAAACTGTTCTTTGTAAATGAAGAAAAGTTGATAAGAGAGCAGCAGGTTGTGGTAAGTAGATCAGGAAGAGTCATGGGGGTACAGGTATTGGGAAGAACTAAGAGATTCATACTCTTCAGGCAGGAAATTAGGGACACCTCATGTTGATACCACATTTGATGGTGAAACTGTTCTTTGTAAGTGAAGAGAGGTTGGTGAGACAACATTGGGTTGTAGTATGGTACTGTATATGGGGAATAGTTATGTGGGTAACAGGTGTTGGGAAGACCATGAGCTGTATGCTCTAGAGACAGGTAGGTGGGGAAGGGTTATGTTGCCACCACATTTGAGGGTGAAACTGTTCTTTGTAAGGGAAGGGAGGTTGGTGATACAACACTGGGTTGTGGTATGATAGATGGGGAAGAGTCTTGGTGGCAAAGGGAGTACAAGTATTGGAAGAACCTTGAGATTCATGCTCTATAGACAGGAAAGTGGAGACATGTTGCAAGCATATCTGAAGGTGAAGATGTTTTTTTTGTAAGTGAAGGGAGGTGGGTGAGACAACAGCCCAGATGTTCCATCTGCCAGCAGCAGGGGACTACAGGGGGCAAAACATGTCTTTACACTTAAGGGCCTTGCTGCTCCTTATAAGTGGACTTTTCTACCATCCCATGTTGTTTGCTGATTGTTTTTCACCACTCGAATATGTACCATGGTGTTGAGTTGTAGCTCCATGCATGCTTTTTCCTGCCAAAATAGGCTCAGTATTCTCACATACTGTATAATAAAGAACTCTGAGATATTATTTTGAACTTTAACCATCAATTGCAATCCCAAATAAACTTTAGCAATCAACTTAGCACCCCAAGAGACACTAAAACTGTAGTAATTAATTTGTGGGAACTGACTTTCCATTGTAATTGACATCTCATTAGGTTCTGCCCCTGAATCTTGCCAGTATTTAAGTCTCTCCAGTACGTAAAGCTGTTTACTAGATGTCATATGGGTTTTGTGTTGTCTTCTTAACACCAGGAGACCTGGGGTTTAAGTTATTTTTAACTTTGCTGGTTGTCACAATGGTAATTGTGACCCTACAACAATTTGCAAAATTTTTTTTCTCCACAATTACAAAACCTTATTAGATGTATCTCAGCCACATTGCCTAAAGTTCTTATGGACGTACGCAATGGATGTCTAGAGCAAGTGCTGCCAATGTGATGTATGTTTTGTGTGTAATGAGATGGCCATATGTCTGTTAGTCACACACTTTTCATTCCAGTAATTGTCATCATTACTGGTAAACACAAATGTCTTCTTGAGTTATGCATAGTTTGATTGGACACGTCCAACTGAAGTTGAAAGCCTACACCATTTACATTACTGCCCTAAATCTGTCTAAAGCATCTCAGAACATTGCATTGCTATTTAGAGTGGAACTTCACTCGCCCCTCTAGGTTTTTTTTTAACCTCCCCCCTTTAACTGTTATGCAGGATTGTCCTCGATTCAGATACTCACGTGCCCAGCATTGCCCTGCTGTGATCCACTGCTCAGGTGCTCCATCTTGGTCCTCCTTAGTCATCAGAAGCTTGTAAGCTTGTAGGCAGGTACAGTCTGTACTCCCCACTGTAGGTGGCGCTTGACCCAAAATGGCAATACAGCAGGAGAAGTAAGTCCTGAGGAACTTCGTTCCTCTTTGATTTCCTGTGGTCTCCTCGGAGCAGCTGTCTAATTGGATGCTGGTCCCCTCGTGACCTCTGTGGGCATCTTAGGTGTGTGCAGAGCTTATTTAAACCCCTGCCCCCATGATTTGGCATGCATTTTGCGAGTGGCTATAGTAGGGACAGGTTCTCCACCTGTTAGGGACAGCATTTAGTAGCAGGAAAAGGTTCCCGGAGAAGTAGGGAAAGTGCAGGGACTCATCTTCCTCTTGCAGAAGCCCCCTTATTGGGTTGAACCGGCCAGACCACTCTTCCACTCCTCGTTGCAGATGATGTCAGCAACATTTAAAGTCACAGGATCGTTGCTGTGAGACTTGCAAGTGGTTCCAGACGGTTGTGCTCACCTGCTGGGCTTGGTTGTATCTTATCTGAACGTTTCAATGTACTCAGTTCCCCACAATCTTCCTCTGTGTGTTCTCTACCGCTGCTAAAGCACGCTGCACACTGCTCACACTTGGCATAGTTGTCAGGATTCCAAACTGCGTGGGGAGGCCCCAATGGTTCCGGCCCCTGATGATATGCTCCAGCTCCATCCACTGGCCGCTGTGTGTTCCTGCTCCTGCACCTTCATCTAATCAACATCAGCATTGACATCTAACTAACATCACCACCAACATCACCACCTGCATCTATCCAACATCACCACCCGCATCTAAACAACATCTAACCAACATAACCACCAACATCCCCACCAACATCAAAGTCAGAACTAGTCAAAAGTACTATACTAATGATCAGATAATTGGCTGATTGTTCCACATACAGAATTTTTTGTACAATTTTCTTATTGTGCCTACAGACCATAACCAACATCACCACCAACATCTAACCAATATCATCACCAACATCACAACCTCCATCTAACCAACATTAACACCTGTATCTAGCCAACATCTAACCAACATCACCACCAACATGTAATAAACATCACCACTAACATCTAGCCAACATCTAACCAACATCACCACCAACATCTAACCAATATCACCACCTCCATCTAACCAACATCACCACCAGCATCTAACCCTCATCACCACCTCCATCTATACAACATCTAACCAACAACACCACTGATACTGAACCAATACGTAACTCACATCACCACCTCCATCTGACCAACATAATCACCTCCATCTAACCAACATCACCACCAACATCTAACCAATATCATCACCAACATCACAACTTCCATCTAACCAACAGTAACACCTGTATCTAGCCAACATCTAACCAACATCACCACCAACATGTAACAAACATCACCACTAACATCTAGCCAACATCTAACCAACATCACCACCAACATGTAACCAATATCACCACCTCCATCTAACCAACATCACCACCAGCATCTAACCCTCATCACCACCTCCATGTATACAACATCTAACCAACATCACCACTGATACTGAACCAATACGTAACCCACATCACCACCTCCATCTGATCAACATCATCACCTCCATCTAACCAACATCACCACCAACATCTAACCAATATCATCACCAACATCACAACTTCCATCTAACCAACATTAACACCTGTATCTAGCCAACATCTAACCAACATCACCACCAACATGTAACAAACATCACCGCTAACATCTAGCCAACATCTAACCAACATCACCACCAACATGTAACCAATATCACCACCTCCATCTAACCAACATCACCACCAGCATCTAACCCTCATCACCACCTCCATCTATACAACATCTAACCAACATCACCTCTGATACTGAACCAATACGTAACCCACATCACCACCTCCATCTGACCAACATCATCACCTCCATCTAACCAACATCACCACCAACACTGAACCAAGATTTAACACATATCAACACCTCTATCCA